AAAGCCAATCACAACGGAACCAGCAAACATCCCTCCAAACAAATCTGGAAAAAAACAGCAACTCATCGCCCCTTGTGGAAATCAGGCCCCCCGTGTGAAGAAAACGTCACACCCTTCAGCTCTGCACCTCTCCATCTTTGCGCGCAGCATTTAACTGCTCGGTGAGTCGCTGAAGACGTTGCTCCGGCAGGGCTTGGGTTAAGCTGCCGTCTGCCTCATGTGACGTCTCATGACATCGAGCTGCACGTGACGTGGCCTTTCCTAGACTTATAACTTATAACATCGACTTGAAGTGGAAGTGGATCCAGTCTGGGCACCTTCTCAGCCGCGAAATGCCGAAGCTCTTGACACTCAGCCTTGCAATCCTCAAGCTCTCCTTGCTTGCACACTGGCCGGCAAGCTTTGGCGTGAACCATGTGAGAAGACGATATTCTACACTTCTACTCTTTCCGACTCATTTATTTGCGTCTGGCCCAATTCTGCCACGCTGTGGACTTATTCCAGTTGTTCCGAAAGCTTTATCGAAACTTAGGCACTTGGTCGCAAGCGAGATAATTCAACCATATTCAAACGAAATACAGGAAAGGCAAACAATAGGCAAATCACATCCCTGTAGCAAATGAGCCAGGGATGAATCACAATTGGTCAATCAACAAATATGGGGACAGGGCTTACGAATTGAGCCTCAATGAAGAATCATCCATTTTGAAGTGACTTAACCACCGAGCCAAGGGTCTTTCCAACGAGCGCGCCTCGTCACGTGCAGCATAAAGCTCTGCACGGAGTCTTGCCTTCACCAGAACAACAAGTGGACAAACAAAGGGGTAACACATGGTGAAAGCACTGGGTCTATATATAATTACAATATTTATCTATATCTATCTGACATAAACAAGTTTGCTTATATATGCTTATATACCTTTGTGTGACCCTCTCTCACTACAAGGTTTGAGTCCGACAATCCCCAAGCCTGGAGTGGATTTTTGGCTAGACCCTCTTTGGCCCATAATCGAATGACATGTGCGGAGGACAACTGGCTCAAAGATTTGACTTCCACTAGCCAAACAAACGGGAATGAATGGAGCTTCGTTTCTCCTTCATCGCAAGCCCGCAACCCTTGGGCTACACTCAGCACCCCCCTCACCCAATCCCTGCTTTCGTGCATGTTTTCAATAAGCATCCGATGCATATTTTGTGACATGCTGGTTCACATGATCTATAAAATGATCCAACTTGGCGTGGTTGCTGTGCATGAACAAACGCCTTGATTTTCCTAATGGCATCCAAAGGCCAAGCCAACCTTTAGTCTTCATGAGATGACTGAACCAACCTTTGGCGGTCTTTCACAGCGATATCTCTTTTACTTAATCGTGAATCTCTGCAAAGGTTGGATTGAGAACCCTGTCAGTCTATACTCAACATCATCATCATCTTGGGGAACTCACCGAGTCCAAGCATGGTGCTGAATGAAGGTCAACCTGTCCGAAGAACACCGCGAACACTCGTGTGTCTGCATTGCCTGCACTGTCAGTGTTGTGTTTTATAGACTGGCCCCCATCCTGGCCCAGGTATGGTGACAATCCAACAAATATGCTCAAATAATCTCAAATAATACCCAACAATGTCACCGGCTGGGTGATTTTTGGAACAACGATTCTGTGGAGCCACGTCGACGTGGGCGTGTGGGCGTGGGCCAATTCCTGGCAAATCTTTCATACCATAACGCCAAAAGCAGCCTAGGGCCCTGGGGCCTTGCAAGAAACCAAACATAATACAAAATGCATACCTTACTGTATGCAAACGCATAAACATACATAAACCATCGCCAGGCCACTTCTCCCATCAACTCTGGCAGGTCTGGTGATGGCAAGGACGTGGTGTCCTACATGCCGGCTTGCAGTGGGTGTCAGGTTGAATAACTACCGAGCATCCGAGCAGGACCTGCGGCCTGCGGTCCAAAATTGTGCTGCTGAAGCTACTAGTAACAAAGGGCATCGCTACTAGGAACAAGTGCATCGCTATTAGTAGCAAGAAGCTACTAGTAACAAGAAGCTTCTACGTTGGAAGCCATCGCTAGTAGGGAGGCCATTACTACTACTGTAGTAGCTGGAATCTGTCCTTATCGTCTACCACGATAAATGGCGAAGGAAAATCAGCATCGGAACGAACATCTTCATCGAAGGATGCCAGCCCAGATTCCTTACCGCAAACCGTTCTTGCAAATTGTTGCCACTGCACACGAGAAAATCATGTATGCCCAGCATGCAACATCGTGGCACCCTCAACAGCACAAGAACCACCAACAACGTCCCAAGTCGAAACAGTTTCTGTCGCCCTCACAGTCTCAGCTCTAAGCGTCCGCAGTGTCAGACTCCTTTGGAAATACCACTGCAGCTGTAGGAATTGATGAATCAGCTCTGGGGGCTTCAGAGAAAAACCTAAGCTGGCACCGAATCAAAGCGTTGATATCATGCAACTCTGGACTCAGCGGTTTTCTCCCCTGAATAGGGTAGTGCCCCCTCAAACAGCACAGAACCATCGGCTTTCCTTTCTGTTCTTTCATGACCTTCACATTCCTTGTCAGAAAACTAGTATATTACGCCGTACTGTATGCATAATATATGTATATACATGTCAATGTATGCATGTAATACATGTTTCCTTTCATTTCCTTCTCCTTTGCAGGTCATTTCACTCATGTCCTTTTCATCAACCACAACTACAACTCACCAAATCTGTGATGTCGTGTGATGTCCAAGAACTGCTAGGTCTCACTAAGAATAATTTGCTCATAAATATGTTACAAGGATGGCATTTGAGAAGATCACAAAGGGTACCTATCCCTACGAGCCCCGTTCTCCCCCGCTCTATTTCAAGATACCCACGTCGTTCCTCGGCTGTCCTCACTTAGTTTCTCCAAATCTCTGGATTAGATTGGCATCAAGTCACGGGATTCTCCCAGATGCAAAGGATTCCGCTCTGTTGGGGCCTATATACTTCTCCCAAAACCTTCTGGACCTTCTGGTGGGGGGGTCATTAATACGAGGTCAGCATCATTCCTGACATCAGCTCTGAAGCGTCAGTCTTCCTGGTCGAATCATCTCATCAAGCCTAAGCCGTGCATCAAATAAGGATAAATAATGATGCATGTGGCAATGTTGGGTGAACAGTTTTGATGCAACGCCGCATCTTAGGACTGGGCCATCTTTTCACCGATTCATCCTTGGGATTTTCTGGGACAACATAGCCTGCAGGCATCTGCAGCACGCGCATCACGCGTCTCTGCTTTGCTCCATGTGATCCGCAACAAGGCGGACCACACGTGAAACATGGCGAGCAGCGGTGAGAGAGGGCCAATAAACACCAAAGCAACCTTTTCATCCTGCTGCGCCCAAAATGATGGATGCTGAATTCACAGGAGCAAGTTTTGCCCACCTGCAATGGACACAAGCTTATCTCCTGACATGTGCCACAAGCACTCAGGTCAAGCTTCTGTAATATCTGTTCAAGGCTTGACTGTTGCTCAACCCTCAAAATGCAGAAACTTGCATGAGTTACCATCTGTATACAACCGCTTTCCTGGACAATCTTCCATACCTCGACAGTGCTGCTCCTGACTGTACCCCCAGCTGCTGAGCTTGGCCATCTGGATCAACCGCTGCAACGTAAACCCCTCACCAGCCATTTCAGTGAGACTGAATCAACAAACAAACAATGAAAAACTGACAGTTTGCATCCCCGTTCTATCAAGTCTCCATTCAGCTCGAAGCCCAGCGGCCCCTCTCCTCAGCAACCACCGAAAGAATGGGAAATGGGTAAATTCGGCCAAGCTGCGGCAGGTGTCTACAAATCTCAACTCCCATTCAACTTCAACTGAGTCACGAAAGCTCAGCTCTCTCTTGCCCTTGTGTGCAGCATCATCTGCAAGCAGAATGGCCTGCTTCTGGATGTCCTCTCCTGGGTCTGATATGATCACCGGCTCTGTCCGCCAAAGCCATGAGGCGAATGTTGGAAACAAAACCCTCATAGATCTTTGATTGTGAACCGCAATGGTACAATAGAACAACTTACAAAAACGATTTGTATGTGCAGCCGTCAAGGCTCCTTAACTCTAGATGGAGAGGCACCATTGTTGTGTATATATATATAGTATAAACATGTTTTATATATCCAAACAAGAGTGTGCGCACAGGGCATCGCTTTTGGGAAGCAACCATCGTTTCCCTCGTATAGGGCTCAAGGCGGGTCTTCTCTTGTTCATACCATGTTTTACGTTGCTCATATCGGTACGGTCAAAACTCATTATAATGTGGCTACTGCATCGTCACCGTTTCCCAATGCTTTGGCACTACGTCATTGCAGGGTATCCTTTTTTGTGAGTCCCCCATCGTTTGCCAGGGCTTGGAGCATTCAAGCCGCATACTGTCATCGCACAGTTTGAAGGCACTTCATAGGGGCTCCTAGGAGCAAGGACGCTACTAGGGGCTCCTGGCATCGCTACGAACGGAGCAAGGACGCTACGGTGACATGCCTGCATGATGCGAACAAGTCGCCAAGCTTGGCAGCTTGTTCCCTCGCGGCTTTGATCCACGAGTCCATTGGACTTTCGTGCTAAAAAGCGCCTCTTGATGGCTGACCGCCAGCTGCAAGTACTGCTTGCTAGGCTTGCCAAGAATAGACTTACCGTACTCCTCACTTCTTGAGCATTGCAATGTATTGCAATAATTTGCGTTTCTTTGGAGACTCAAAGTTGAAGCTTCCAAAGCTCTAGCAATCTTGCATGAACAACATCTTTTGTTCCAGCATCATGCGACTGGTAAGCAGTGTGGAGCGTATGCTCATGTAGCCCTGTTGAGCCACTCAGGAATACGGCGACAACTGTATGGGACTGTACTGGAACTTCAGCTTGACCTCTCCATGAGTAACTAACATGCTAATATACACTATGTCACAACATTTAACTGTTCAATGTTGCCCATGCACGGAACAAAGTCCCCGGCACGACTGATCCATCTTCCCGCAACGCAGCGAACGCAGATCCGGAGGAGCAAAGGTCTAATACGCCACGCTCGAGCTGGACCTGTCAAATCTGCCGAGTCCTAGGGTCAAGACCTTTCTGTTTACTCCATTGTGGCTCACATTCTACAGTACATGTGGAAATGAATCCAGCACTGGTAGCAAACATCATAGCGCTCTTTTCTTGAGCCATCGCGAGAGCGAAAGTCGGGTTTCAGTCTCCATCAAGCTGGTCAGGTCCATGAGCAATCCGGGTCAGTGCATGACATGTTCCTGGTTTCACCTTCGTTTTCACATTCGTCTTTCTTCTGACCTCGATCGCTCTTGGACCCTTGCAGCTCGATCTTCAAGGAAAGGCCGTTCATGGCCGCTCGGACGTCGCTTGCGTCCATGTGCTTCGTGAGGGCGTCGGCCAGCATCGTCTTCGTGCTGATCCACAGCACTCGGGTGCTGCCGTCTTGCGGCGGCTGGTCGCTGAACAGCGGGTCGCCCACTTCCTCATGGCGTCGACGCCAGATCATCTGGCGCATCCCGCAAAGGTCGATTGCGAGCCTCTTGTCGTTCACTTCTCCGAGCCCTTGTTGCGTCAAGTGGTCGGACAGACTGCGACAGTCTGTCAGCTTGATCAGATCTGTGCTGTCCTGGGCTCTCATCCTCCAGTTGGGATCGCCTTGATCGTGGCCATGATGTAGCCCATCCAGGATCATCCTCAGGTGTTCCCCGTCCTCATAGCCAGCCAGCATGCTCAGGCTCTCAGCCTGAAGTGTGCTTCGACACACCCGTCGAATCACGGAGCTCTTCCATTCCAAGATGTGGATCGGGCCTCCACTCTTGTCGATGAAGTCTGGCCCACAGAAGGCCAGAATCCTCCCAGATTGGGAGCGAAAGCCAAGGCGCTGTCCAGTCGACGAGAGGTCATAGTCGTTGGCGTGGCTCGCGTCGGTGATGGAGAGGATCTTGAGCTCTTCAAACTTGAAGGGGCGCCACACGTAGGTCAGCCGCTGATCCTTGCTGAGCGTCGCCCTCCTGAGCAGTGAGTTGCAGTCCACCAAATCTTGGACACAGGGCTTCTGGACACAGCTTTGTAGTCGGCTGGTGTCGTAGGCCAGATCAGGCCGGTTGACACGCACAATCCAGTTCAAGGAGCCAAGAACACTCCTCATCTGAGATTGCTCCTTGTGAGTGGCTTCTCCTCCTCGGTTGGCTTTCCTGGCTGTTGACAGGGCAATTGGTGTAGTCCTTTCAAGACCATGCGGGCATGTGACATGGATGCCCTCATCGTCCTGTGAAATCATTCTGCCACAGAACTTGAAGGTGGTGTCGGCGGTACGGCCAAACTTCAGCTTCTTCTGGACGTTGTCCATGGCCTGCTGGGTGAGGTCTCCTCCACACCAGAGTAGGTCGTCCACATGACTGATCACCAGTCCGTCCACAGAGCCGTCCGGCTTGTTCATCACATAGGCGGCATTTTCATGTGGAATGGGACGTAGTCCAAACTCCTTCATGGTGTTGTGGAGGCTCTTCCAAAATCCTCGTGGAGCATCCTTGGTGCCATAGACAGGCTTCCGTGCCACAAGCAGTGATCCGGGCGCCACTCCTGGTACACCATCTTTTGGTAGGCTCATGATGAGCATTCTGGAAAGTCCAAGCCCTTGTAGGAACGTCGCAGTGATGTCTCCACTGTGTAGGCGTAGACCATTGCAGCTGGCGAAGGACAGAACCATGCTCAGCATCAAGTGAGATGCCGTGGGTGAGTCAGTGCGAACTCCTCCTTGGTGTGCCTGGTTTTCAAGATCTCCGCGGACAACCAGGCGGCTTTTCAGTTGTTCTTCTTCTCCTTCATCCGCCTTGTTGACATCTACCCATCTCATGGGTACCACTTGTGCTCGAGGATGCTTCTTGCAGAAACGATCAGCATCTTGAGGTGGGATCACCTCACAAGCATCGAAGTTGGTCCAGTTGGTCCATTCCTTGTGCCTGGTTTGATCAAGCTTCGCCTGCATCTCTGGTGAGGCCTTGGAGTAGTTGATCTCCTTGCTGCCGGCACTCTTCTTCTTGTAATTGGTGCGCCGGGCCAAGAATCCTCGCAGGCAGGTCGCCTGTATCTTCTGGCGGCGGTTCTGCGTAGCATAGAAGGTTCTCGGCGGTGTCCTTGACCGTTGTCTCGAAGATGAACTGGATGTAGGATGTCCATCAAGTCCTTCCAGTGATCTCCACATAGATCGCTGCAGTGGTGTAGGCGTAGACGTGGTGGTTGGTGTGCCTTCGGTTGTTGCTCTTGTTCGTTTGGAATCCGGTTCGATGTCTGGCTCCTCCACGGATGAATGTCGTGGTAGGTCTCCAAGTTCATTCATGGCCTCTTGGAATTCATCGAACTCGACCTCTTGGTCATCATCAGGTACTAGTCCTGGAGGTTCTTCTGGACCTTCGGCTGGTACAGGAGCAGCAGCCACCTCTTCCAGAGTGAGTGGATCTGCCGGTAGTCCAGGTGGTGGTTCAGGATGTTCATCTCCAGGTGGTGTTGATGTTGCCACCGCGGGCGCTGAAGACATTCCTTGTTCAGGTTCTTCTCCTGGTTCTGGTGCTCCTGGAGCTGGGTGATCTTGATGTCCAACATGATCTCCTCCGGGGCGTCCAACATCCAGGTAGGAGTCCTGATGCTCCTCGTCAGATTGATTTGCCATCAGGTCATCGGCAAAGGGGACTTCATCTTCATGGTCCTGTAGGATCTGCCGCTTCCTCTTGCGTGATGGTCGAAGTTCCAGGAGTTGTTTGGCCACAACTTCTCCTTGTAGAGCTGGTCGACATGATTCCTCACTGATGGTGATGGGAACTCCACCATGGATCAACCAAAGGTTGCTGCGGCCTTCTCGTCCAATGACCCGTGCTGGTCCATACCAGCGTCCAACTCTAAAGAAGCATACCAGATCTCCTGGTACATAGGGTCCACGAAGTGGCGTAGATCTCCGCAGCAATGAAGTCCTGATGCGGCGGCTGCTGTCGGCATACTCAAAAGCTTCCTTGGCAGCCTGTCGGATGTTCAGCTGTTGTGCGAATTCGGTTTCTCCCGTGACCATTTCTTCATGAACTCCAAGACGGTTGGGTGCTTGCTCAACTGTCAGACTGGTCACGTCATCTGGCAGCTTGCCCATGACCCATTGAGTTGGGCTGAAACCGGCATGGTTCACGCGACAGTTCTTCACGAAGGTGGATTCCATCACAGCCATTCGCATCCCTGAGATGCCGACGATATGTCGTGCTGCCACCGTGTTCTTGATGATCTCCTTCAGAAGTGAACCTTGACGTTCTGCTCGACCGATTTGATGATGAGCCTCCGTGCCAGCGTAGCGGATGTAGACCCCCTGTGCAGACATGAGAGCAGCAACTTGTCCACGGTTGGCCACTCCTCTATCGACAGTCAGGTACTTTGGAGGATTTAAAGTGGGTGAACCAGTGATCTCGGAAGATCTCTGCACACTTTTGACTGCTGGGAGTTCCGCCCTTGTCGGAGACGATCCAAGCGCTGTGGTATAGGGTGCCCATGTCAATGATGGAAAGAACGGTGTACCTGTTGCCAAGTCCATCTCTCACCTCAAAGGCATCAGAGGTGATCTCGAAGTTGAAGGCCAAGACAGGCTGAAAGACCTTAAAGACGATCTATAAGGCCGGAGGCTGTATAGACGATTTTGGCCTTGGCCATGGTCTTGAACCAAACACGCATGCGCCCAATCCATGCAGGAAAGGCCCTGCAAAGAACGTGCGAGGCTTGAGCCTGACCAAGCAAAACTTAGAGAACGCCGACAAAATTTTGGTCTGGAGAGGTCCACAGGCAAACAAATTTGACAAAACACCGTAACTTGCCCATTGCTAAGCCTTTTCTTTGGCGCGCGTTGGTTCTACGGCGTAAGATGCGCCAGCAAATTTAAATGTTTCCGACCGTCCGCTTTCCACAAGCTTGAAGCCTAGTTGCAGAACCTGCGACTTCGATCAGAAGTTTTCAAGAAATATTCATGAGACTTGAAAATGGAATGCTGCATGCTAGCTAGTTTTTGCAAAAGAACTTTACAAACAAGGTTCTTGCAAACTTCATGGTTCAGACATGGGCAGCTTACAAACGCTTTTTGTTTGCGCTGTTGGTGCTGGGAAACGACTGCAACCCAGTCCAAGCAAGCACAAACCGGAACAATGAACAAAACTTATGGGTTTCCCACTGGGTCCGCTTTACAAGAGTCAATCTTCAATGCGCCTATCATAGGGTATTGGCCTCAACTGTCTTCCCTGACTTGGTGAGGCTGTATCTGATCGTTGATGTTTTTGGTTGGACTACCACCTTTCGTTGGGAAACTATATATTCTGTGCTGTTTCAGCTTGGAATTGCCCAAAGCGCATTCGCATTCTCCGTTATCAAGCTTGCGACAGCTGCCTCTTTGATTTTAAGTTTGGCTCACGTTTGCTTCTGTTTACCTCTAATCTTCTGGCTGCTTAATTTTTTGAAGCTAGGATGAGCTATAGGCTATAGGCCATCTGCTCCTTTTCATGTTGAACCTCGCCAAAGCTCTTTGTTGCTTCAAGTTTGGGACACGTGCTTCTGCTTTTCGGCCGCCAGGCCAGGGTATATGGAAATAGTTCGAGGGGCTGCCATCCCAACCCTGCATTTGGAGCACAAGATCAATCAATCAAGCGGCTTTAGCGCTCCAGCGGCAGTCCTGGCCCCGCAAAAACAAAAAGAACGTGCATGCGCGAGCGGCGCCCCATAGAGACGAGCAGACCGCCCCAGACCTCCTCATACGTGTCTGGGAATGCTAGCGTGGATTTGAAAAAGTTTTTCGAATTCGGTAAAATTACCACAAGAATTCTCGATTCAAATTTCACGAAATTTCACGGGAACAGTGCCTTATAGACGATCTATAAGGTAAATTTCACGAAATTTCACGGAATTTCACGTTCTAGATTTCCATCCAGTTTGCAATCAAAATGCGCGTTTCCATGCGGCGCATCGCAAATTTCATGAAATATCACGAAAAACATGGTGCGCGAGCTATTTGCACCATAGGCGTTCGCGAA